CCACAGGAGAGGATCTTGGCGACTCCACAACTGCCCCAACAGGGCTGCGTCACGAAGGGTCCATGGACCCCAGCATCCCCACAGAGGCTGCAAAGACCCTGGAACACATCTCTCAGGCGTGGCTCCACCACTCACATTGCAACCTCGGGAGTGGAGGCCTTTGGGCCGTTTGGGCAGCAAGGCCCATCCCCAGAATCGTAGAACTTTAGAGTTGGAAGGGACCCCGGCGGTCATCTAGTCCAACCCCCTTTCGATGCAGGAATCGCAATGCAACAGGGAAACGGACAGCTGCAGAGACTGCAATCTGGCTTTGCACATGCACTAGTCAGGTGAGCGAGATCCGGAGCAGCAATCAAAGGGGACTCAAATGCAAATCCTGGCCAAGACAAGTCAACACAACAACAACAACAACAACAACAACAACAATATATAATTTATTTATACCCCGCCCAGCTGGCTGGGTTTCCCCAGCCACTCTGGGCAGCCTCCAACAGAACATTAAAATACAATAACCTATTAAACATTGAAAGCTTCCCTAAACAGGGCTGCACAATTCAAAGTGTTGGTGCTGACCTTTAAAGCCCTAAACGGCCTCGGTCCAGTAGACCTGAAGAAGCGTCTCCACCCCCATCATCCAGCCCGGACACTGAGGTCCAGCGCTGAGGGCCTTCTGGCGGTTCCCTCATTGCGAGAAGCCAAGTTACAGGGAACCAGGCAGAGGACCTTCTCGGTAGTGGCGTCCGCCCTGTGGAACACCCTCCCACCAGATGTCAAAGAGAAAAACAACTACCAGACTTTTAGAAGACACCTGAAGGCAGCCCTGTTTAACAGACTATTGTATTTCAATATTTTGTTGGAAGCCGCCCAGAGTGGCTGAGGAAAGCCAGCCAGATGGGCGGGGTATAAATAATAAATTGTTATCATCATCATCATCATTATCATCATCTCCTATCTCACAGGGTTGTTGTGCGGCGATAAAACAGGAGGAAGAACCCCACGTGCCGTCACAAAACTCCTGGGATGGAAGGCGAGATAATCACTTGACAGATCCAGAGCTCTCTTGCAGAGAGCCGGGACAAAGCAAAGCAGCCACTTTTAAACCTGCAAGTAGCACTACATTCAGACAATCTAGCATCCGAATGATATTTTGCAGTTTACCTGAAATGGCACGTTCATCAAAAAAATCTCCTTCCTTGGAGGTTTCTAAGCAGAGCTTGGGCGGCCATCTGTCAGGGGTGCTTTAGCTGAGATTCCTGAATTGCAGCGGGTTGGACTAGATGACCACTGGGACCCCTTCGAACTCCCAAGATTCTACGATTCTGTGATCTCTGGTGGTGTCCAGATGAGGATAAAGGGATTGTCCCAAGCGCAGCAGCGGTCCTTTGGGACTTCCTAGAGCTCTGGGAATGTGAGGGGGCTTTCTAAGATTAGCAAATATAATTAGCAAAACTTGCTGTGTCTAAAATAAACGGGGAATGGAGATTGCTCTAGGGAAGGGATTTTTTTGTATTAAAAAAAAAAACAGCCCTGAAAACTAGGCTCAGCTGTTTTGAGAGGTGCAGAGAGACGAGAAGAGGCCTGGGATCTTGCAAAGGCAACGATTGGCGGCTGAATTTCAGCCACAGATAAGGCCCTGCCTCTGCTTTCAGTGCCAGGCTTCAGCAATTGTGCTCCTGGCCCCATAATACGTTTCTGAGCTGCCAGTCAGTGCAGGCAGTGCTGAGGCAGATGGCCTTCGAGGTCTGACCCAGTATAGGGCAGCTTCCTTTGTTGCCACATAAGTGCCACATAAGTGACACCCAGGCAGTGACCTGCCTCATGCGGCTGGAAGGGACACCAAAGGTCATCTAGCCCAACCCCTTGCTATGCATGTGCATTCGCATTTGCGCATGGCGTTTCTGGGTGCCCTAGTGCCTTGCAGAGAGTAGCAGAGTGAGGCAGCTGTGGAGGGCAACGGCTTCTGCCTTTCCTTACCCTCCCAGCTTGCCCAAAAGTTGCTCATCCATTGACGCCCATTGCTGAACACAGGCTCCTGAATTGCAGGCGGACGCCTCCGCAAGTGCCGTGCTTGAGGGAGATTCCTGCCTTTCAGGGGGTTGGGCTAGATGACCCGGAGAACCCCCTCCGAACTCTACTGTTCTATGATCCCGGTCTTGCAGAGGGAGCAGCCCTTTTGGATAAAGCCTATTCGCCAGGCGGGTGGCAGGTCCTGTACAATTTGTAAACCAGAGCCTCGCTTTCAACAGCAAGCAGCTGATTCCAGGAATGGCACCTCCCTGCAGCATTCCCCAACCTGGTGCCCTCCAGATGTTGTGGACTACAACGCCCAGCTCTCTGAGCACCACCTGGGGAAACAACTGCTGGAGCTTCTGCTCCCTGCATTCCACCCCGTGGACGTTTCCAGTTGCACACATAAAGTTTAAATCATGCCCCACACACTTTGCAATAATGAGCTGCGGTTCCTGCATTGGCGGGGTTGGACTAGATGACCCCTGGGTCCCTTCCCACTCTAAAGTTCTGATTCTATAAATGTGAATATAAAACTTAATGCCGGTCAGAATGTCCATTTGGCTGGCAAATGCTGTGCTCTCTCCTAACCAGAAACATGCACAAATTTAACAAGCCCAAAGAGGTCCAAAATGTGGTTTACAATCCCTTCCAGGCGTTAAGTCAAGTTTCAACCCCAATTTCCTCATCTAGGCCTTCCTTCCTTCCCCTAAGCAGCCTCTCCCCCCAGGCAGATAACCTCCACATGCTGTATGTACAGCAGACCACAACTCCCATCAGCTCCAGCCAGCTGCCCTAGAATAAAACTACAATTCCCAGAGTTCCTTGCTGGAGGGAATAACCCTTTCATAAGTCACCTTAAATGTGTAACGCAGGGAACGCCTGTATTTGGGGATGGGAAGGTGAAGCTGGAGTTTTGCGATCTGTAAGGCTAAACTGGGTTAATTGCCACGGCTTGGGAATCACAGTTCTGCAAAGCTCCGGGCAAGACCCAGCAGAAATGGATTTCTATCCTCAGATAACTAGAATCCCTGGAGTTTACTGCAGAGGGGATGTAGATCAGGGACAGAACACCTGCTTTGCATGCAGAAGGTCTCAGGTTCCATCCACAGGAGGGCTAGGGGACGTCCCCTGCCTGTCACCCAGGAGAGCTGTTGCCAGTCAGTGTCAGCAGTATTCAGCTAGGGTCTGTATTGGCAGTCAGTGTCGGCAGTATTGATCAAGGGTCTGACTCAGCGCAGGTTCCCTGACGTTCCTCCCTACGGAGGGGCTTCAGCCGGGGCTACGGGTGCTGCTGTGTGCCCATCTTTCCCCAGTGACCACAGGACAAATCTGGATGTCCAAAAAAGGCACCGAAAAATGCCAGTGTTGGAGGCACGCTTCCCTGCCAAGAAACCTGCCTTCCCTCCCCAGGTGGAAGGGGCAGGACCTGCCTTGCTACTTCCACCGGGAGCGGTTGCCAAAGGGCACCTCCTTCCACCTCGCTGCCCGACCACAGCCCATCGCCGTGTCTCCCAGGCAGCTTTCAAGGCTCCCTTGCCAGCCGTACCCTCCTTGCAACGAGCCGGCTATGCCTTGAGCCCCTCGCCCACCAGAGCCAGTGGGATTCCCCCGGCGTGGGCACAGGGAGGTGGGAAGGAGGTGGCAACACAGAGGGACCCAACCCAGGCAGAAAACCTCCTTGCTGCTAGCCAGCCACCGAGACATCGACTGCCCTCCTTTCCGCCAGGGAAGCCGCTGGGTAGCCTCTGCCGACAGCCAGCAGGGAGGCTGGATTTGACCTTCGGTGAAAGTCACGGCCCCCCAGAGGTTGGGGGAGTTGCCCTCTGTCACCCTCAGGTGGGCTTGAGCTTCCCGCCCCAGGGACCTCCACCCTGAGAGATTTCCTGGCGCTAGCAATCTCCTTGGCCAATACCCAGAGAGGCTGGAACGTGGCAACACAGAGGGAGTGGCAAGGAGGGAAGGATGCCAACAAGACCCCAGTCTGCTTTGGACGCAGCACGCGAGAGGAAGGAGGGACCCATGGCTCATGCCCGTGGCATGCACCTCTAGGGGGAATTGGGGAGGGTGGCATTTTTGGGGTGTCGGTGACAGGAACTGGCTGCCCACGAGAAGAGGGCATGTGCGAGCATCGGATCCACGTGAACACCACGTGGGCGCCGCCCGGCTGTGCTTTTCCCCAACCCGGTTCGGGAGCGTGTTTTTGTGCGGAAAAGAAAACAAAACAAAAAAGTTATTGTGAAACGAGGACCCGGAAGCCCTGCCCACACTGGGTGCAAGACGGGCAGCAAAATGTTCCTGAACATCTCTCTGAACGCGACGCGATCCAACAGGGAGGATCTCTTTCCTGGGAGCCATTTAAAATGGAACAGAAGGGGGAAAGGGTGGGCAGTTGGGGGGGGCGGGTGTCAGGTAACCGAAGGACAGAATACACCCCCCACACACCCCCCAGCTGCCCACCGCAAGACAAGCGCTGAAATGGCACGGAAATCAAAGTGGAGAATTGGAAGCTTGCAAGAGGAATAAGGAGCCGAAAGGAAGGAGCGTGGGCAAGGAGAAGAAGAGGAGAGGAATGGATCGGTGTGGAAATGAGGGGGGGGCGACCTCCGCCTTGGATGGCGGAGGAGCTGGGAAGCAGCTGCGAGGAGGAAGAGGCGGGGGTGGGGGGGGGGAGACGGCTGGAGAAGCTTGCAATGGGGGGGATAAACCTGATTAGACAGTCAAATTTCATGGGTAAATACACACTGCATCGAGTCCGGATCCCTCCGTGGCTCATGGGGGGCGAGAGGAGATGAGGAGCCCAGCCCCGGCACACCAGCCCTGCCGAGCCAGAGGGTGCCGGCAAAGTGGGTGTGTGCGGAGCGGGGGATGGGCTGATGGAGAGCTCGCCTTTGAATGCAGCCAAGGCAAGAAAATGGAGATACCTGATTCCTGCATGTAAACAGCTGGGTTTCTTTTTCTTTTTTTGAGACAACCTGATTGCGGAGAAGTGAGAGTTTACCTGGCTAAGGGATTCAGTACGTGAAGACTAAGTCTGAGATGCTGGACATCAGCCAGTCCCCAGCGATCATCTCAGTCACCTCCGGGGTGCAATAATCCGGGAACTCAAAGTGAGACGTGGCGCCCAGGGGGAAGAGGTCCAGGTCTTTGTCGAAGACGGACCAGTCCGGCGTCCCGCAGGGCGTGTTCGGCTGGGCTCGGGCGGGCAGGAAGCTCAAGAGCTCTTCTTCAAACTCTTCGTCCGACGAGGCGAAGGAAGACAGCGGGGACCGGGTGGACGCTGGAGAAGGGGTCTCTGAGGACCTTGCCTGGTCCGAAAAGGACTTGGCAGCAGCAGCAGCACCAACCTCGTGGTCCTTTGGGGTCGCCAGAACTGCCCACCCACGCTCCTTTCTCGCCGCTCGCTGGCAGCACGTGCCAGAACTCTTTGCCGGGAGTTTTCGGGCCGTCGTCAAAAGGCGCCTCCATCAGCCGCGCTTCCAGCGGGTCGTCATCCAGCTCGGGCATCGAGCGTCCCTCCTGGCTGCCGCTGCCACCCTGTTTGGGGGGCTGCCTTCTGCCGGACGCCACCCTCCCGAGGACGGAGGGCTTGATCTTAACCGAGACCCTGGGGCGGGACTTAGCAGTGCCCACCTTGCCCTTCTTCCTGGGCCGGTACTTGTAGTCTGGGTAGTCAGCCATGTGCTTCAGTCGCAGCCGTTCTGCCTCCTTGACAAAGGGGATTTTTTCCGAGTCCTGCAGGAGCTGCCAACGCCGGCCAAGGCGCTTGGAGATCTCAGCATTGTGCATGTCCGGCCACTGGTCCATGATTTTCCGCCGCTCGTTCTGGGACCACACCATGAAGGCGTTCATGGGGCGTTTGATGTGCCCGCTGGGAGTCTTGCACCAGCCCGGCTCCCCTTTGGCATCCTTCAGCAGCAGGGCATCCTTGGGGCACACCTCCCGCTTGCCCTCCGACCCCCGGCTCCGCACGCTCCTCTGCTGGACCATCCTGCCGCCCTCGTCTTCCACGTTCCAGGCGCCGCTGAGCCCCGGGTTATTTTCTCATCATCCGGCGAGGGGTGGGCGGATCTGCCGCTCGCTCGTCCGGGTGCGAGAGCTCCTCTCTCTCTTCCTCCACGCCCACCCTGCCTGCCGGCGAGCTCTGCCTGGGCGTCCACACCCCCCTTTTAACTCAGTCGCTGAAGCAGCTGGCTGGCAAATTGACAGAAGTGGTTGTGGCACCTCGGCTGTGGCACCTTCCGCAGGCGCCAGACGAGCGGCGAAGGGAGCCGGGCCGGCGGTGGAGAGAAAGAAAGAATGAAGGAGGGAGAGAGGGGTGATCTTTGGCAAGAAAAGCCGGCCGGAGGGCAGGAAGGGGTGGGTGGACGTCCGCTTCAGGCAGGCGAGCCCTTCGGGTGCCGAATCGCTCGGGGATGCGAAGGAGAGTCACGACTTTGCTGCTCGGCTGCTGAGCTTCCAGGGCAAGACCTGAGAACGAAGGAAGGGAGGGAACGGCAGAGGGTCTCGGTCTTTTGCCCCTCGGCTGCCCTCCACGCCTCTCTCTCTCTTTCCCCAGTCAGCCAGCTCACGCCCACCCCTCTCGCTGGCTCCTCTCGGCTGCCTTCTCTTATAGCCCATCCCCGCCGACAGCCCCCTCCTCCTCCTCCTCTTTCCCCCCTCCCAGACGGGCCCCTCCCCTCCTGCACAGTCTAGGGGCTGCTGCGCACACATTGCTCGCTCGGAGTAAACACCCAGGTGCTCATTCTGTCAATGGGAAGCCCCGCCCACCCGGGGACGTCATTGGTTGCGGGGCAGGAATGGAGGATTTGCATCCCCCAATGGGGCGCAACGGGGAAGGAGTTGCTGGAGAGAATGTCAAAAACTTTCTCGCCTCCGCCACCATCCTAAGCACAGACCACCGCCCCTCCACAGCCCACCCAGAGCATATCTGTTACCTGAGACCGGACCCCCCACCAACGCTCTCTCTGCTTCCTCGCCCCCCCCCCAGGATTGACCCAAGGCAGGGAGTTTAATCGCCAGACCTTTCCTGTGCCACTGTCTGGCTTTCTGTTCCCGTCAAGTTCACAGGCAAACCTGGTTTGTTTGCTGTTTTTTTTCTGCAGGGAAAAGAGAAAGGAGTTTTTGCAAAAAATATTTCAGATTCCTCAGCATCAGGAAATTGTGCGCAAATATGCTCTGTGTTTGTGTGTGTGTTTGGAGGAATGGATCGAGAGAGAGAAAAAAGATGTTTTAAACCTTGACCCAAGACAGCACGGGCGAATGCCAACTTTTCAACTGCTGCAAAACAATGCCTGCAGATGTGGCGGCTGTTAAAAGGCAGAGCTGCAGAGGTCAGCGGGAAAGTTGGCAGTCCCTGTACACCTGGGAGTTTTCAGGATAGTGTTTGGTCAGCTGGGCACAGGAGATTCAGAATCCAGCTCAGGGGCCGACAACCTCCCTGCCTACACCCAGTGCAAGACCCCAAGTTAGTGCTAGGATTCTGCGACAGGCACAAGGCGAGGGGACGCTAAAGGCCATCTAGCTCATCCTTGCTGTGCCCACAGGTCAGTCTATTCAACCCGCAATGTGACACGTGGCAATCACTTTCCTGCACGAGCTAATTTGGCATTTTTTAAACTGCTTGCACTTTCAGAAGAGCCATAGGTCAGGGGCAGAGCATCCATCTTGCAAGCAGAATCATAGAAACATCATCATCTATTATGTCTTAGAGTTAGAAGGGGCCTGAGGGTCATCTAGTCCAACCCCCCCCCCATGCAGGAATCTCGACTAACGCATCCAGGACAGATGACCATCCTACCTCTGCTTAAAAACCTCCAAGGAAGGTCTCAGGTTTAATCCCCAGCATCTCCAGGTATGCCTGGGGGAATCTCCTACCTGAAACCCTGGAGAGCTGCTGCCAGCCAGTGTAGACAATGCTGAGAGGCCCCAAAGGCCTGACTCAGTAGAAGGCAGCTTCTTATGCTCCTAGTAGAAGAAGAGGAGTTTGGATTTGCTATCCCGCTTTATCACTACCCGAAGGAGTCTCAAAGCAGCTAACATTCTCCTTTCCCTTCCTCCCCCACAACAAACACTCTGTGAGGCGAGTGGGGCTGAGAGACTTCAGAGAAGTGTGACTGGCCCAAGGTCACCCAGCAGCTGCAGGTGGAGGAGCAGGGAATCGAACCTGGTTCATCAGATTACGAGTCTACCGCTCTTAACCACTACACCACACTGGCTCTCCTAGTATGCTCCTAGTAAGCTTTACAGTTCACTTTGGTAATGGCACTCAGCACACAACGCTGCGTTTTATAATCTCCAATGCTCTAACCAGGGGTCAGCAACCTTTTTTAGCAAGGGGCCAGTTCACTGTCCCTCAGACCTTGTGGGGGGGGCCAGACTATATTTGGGGGGGGGGAAATGAATGAATTCCTATGCCCCACAAATAACCCAGAGATGCATTTTGAATAAAAGCACACATTCTACTCATGTAAAAACACGCTGATTCATGGACCGTCCGCGGGCCAGATTGAGAAGGGGTTGGGCCACATCCGGCCCCTAGGCCTTAGGTTTCCTACCCCTGCTCTAACCGACATTATCCTAACAACAGCCCTGTATTACTTCCTCCAAGCTGCAGAAAGTGGCTGAGAGACAGCCGCTTTCCTATGGCAACATTTAAATGGCTGAAGGCATCCTGACTCACAGCTCTCACTCTTAACCGCTGCTCTTCAAGCGCTCTCGCTGCAGAAACTAGAAATGGGAAAGGCAGTGTAGTCTGGTGGTTAATGTGTCAAACTACGACCTAGGAGACCAGGGTTCGAATCCCCACTCGAAGCTCACTGGGTGACCTTGAGCCAATCCTTGCCCCTCTCAGGGTTGTAGCGGGGGTTAAATGAGGAGTGGGGGAGAGAACCCCGTAAACTGCCTCGGGCTCCTTGCAGGAAAAGAGGAGACGTAAATGCCACAAATGACAACATTTTGGAGGTCCCAAGTCGCAAGGTGGTTAGATTGGTCTCAACTAGGGCCAGGGCCTTTTCAGCACTGGCCCCGACTTGGTGGAACGCTCTGTCACAAGAGACTAGGGCCCTGCGGGACTTGACATCTTTCCGCAGGGCCTGCAAGATGGAGCTGTTCTGCCTGGCCTTTGGTTTGGACTCAGTCTGACTCTTATGTTTTCCATCCCCTTATGGTCTTGAACTATGGGCTACTTTTAAAATGAGGCTGCATTTTAAATTGCATTTTAACCTGTATTTTAAATTGGTGGTTATTATTATTATTATTATTATTATTATTATTATTATTATTATTATTATGTTTTTACTGTAATTTTAATGGTGTTAGCCACCCTGAGCCCAGCTCTGGCCGGGGAGGGTGGGGTATAAATCAATCAATCAATCAAACAAACAAACAAACAATACAGAAACAGCTCAGTTGGTTACAGTGTGGTACCGATAATGCCATGGTTGCAGGTTCGATCCCCTTATGGGACAGCGGCATATTCCTTCATTGCAGGGGGTTGGACTAGATGACCCTTGGGGTCCCATCCTTCCCGCTCTACAATTCTACGAAACCTGGCGCTCCCTGGATGTTGTGGACTACAACTCCCATCAGCCCCCTCTTCCAGCCATTCCTGTTGAGGGAGCCTGGGCTGGATAGACAAATAGGTAAAGTTAAAGGGACCCCTGACCATTAGGTCCAGTCGTGGCCGACTTTGGGGTTGTGGCGCTCATCTCACTTTATTGGCCGAGGGAGCCGGCGTACAGCTTCCGGGTCATGTGGCCAGCAGGACTAAGCCACTTCTGGCGAACCAGAGCAGTGCACGGAAACACTGTTTACCTTCCCGCTGGAGTGGTACCTATTTATCTACTTGCACTTTGACGTGCTTTTGAACTGCTAGGTTGTCAGGAGCAGGGACCGAACACAGGAGCTCACCCCGTCACAAGGATTTGAACCGCCAACCTTCTGATCAGCAAGTCCTGATCACAGGATAGACAAATAGAATGACTCTAATTTAAGGCAGGCTTCCTTTGTTCCCAGGGTTAGTTAAGACAAAGACAGAGAGCCAAGAATCGAAGAGCTCAAGTTTGGCAACCTTTACCATCACTGTCTCCATTCACAAAAGTATTTCCCAAGTCACCCAGCCCCTGTGCAGCTGTCGATTTTGACCCATAAGACTCTCTGAATGGTTATTTTATATTTTCATTTGTTTGCATTTAAATGCCGCCCCTTTTTTCCCCCCAAGGAGCTCAAGGTGACACGAATGGTTCTCCTCATTTAAGCCCCACAACAGCCCTTTGAGGCAGGCTGGGCTGAGAGGCAATGGCTGGCTTAAAGACACACAGTCTGATTCATGTCCGAAAGAGGACTTGAACCCTGGTCTCCCAGGTGGACACTCTAACCCAGGCATCCCCAAACTCGGCCCGCCGGATGTTTTGGGATTACAATTCCCATCATCCCTGACCACTGGTCCTGTTAGCTAGGGGTGATGGGAGTTGTAGTCCCAAAACATCTGGAGGGCCGAGTTTGGGGATGCCATGGACTGCAAGAAGATCAAACCTCTCCATTCTGAAGGAAATCAGCCCTGAGTGCTCACAGGAAGGACAGATCGTGAAGCTGAGGCTCCAAGACTTTGGCCGCCTCATGAGAAGAGAAGACTCCCTGGAAAAGACCCTGATGTTGGGAAAGATGGAGGGCCCAAGGAGAAGGGGACGACAGAGGATGAGATGGTTGGACAGTGTTCTTGAAGCTACCAGCATGAGTTTGACCAAATTGCGGGAGGCAGTGGAAGACAGGAGGGCCTGGCGTGCTCTGGTCCAGGCGGTAACGAAGAGTCGGACACGACTAAACGACTAAACAACAAAGCTCTAACCCAGGGGTCTTCAACCCGGGGCTCTGGAGCCGCATGTGGCTCTTTTACACCTTTGCTGCGGTTCCGGGGCAGATACTAGCGAGGGGAGGAGGGGCATTGTGTGCCCCGACACTCCCCACTGTGGCGGGCGCTGTACTGGCTGTGATGTCGCATGGGGGCGGTGCGTGCGTTAGTCACGCACTGTCCCGACGTCACCTTCCCGGTTTTGCGGCTCCCAGGTTTTTTTTCTTCGGAAACGGGTCCAAGTGGCTCTTTTTGTCTTAAAGGTTGCAGACCCCTGCTCTAACCACTACACCATGCTGCCTCTGAGGTTAGGCTTGGGGTCATCAATGTGACATCTTCAGATGACCCTCTTGCCACCCACCAAGGCCCTTCCTGCGTCTCCCATTTTAAAAAAACAACTAGGGAGTTTGGCTTCTTTTAGCTGTTTGGTTGGGAGGGCTACCTGTTTTTGCGGGGGCTGGAGGTCTGGTTTTTTTCTCTCCTGTGCTGTATTTGTGTTGGGGGAAAGTGTAGGTGTTTAGCTCGTTGTTCGGGGAGGGGAAGGTTCTCAGCATTGCCAGTTTTTCTTCTGTGAAATGGGTATGTTCCTGGTGCCCACATCAGATTTCCAAAGGTGTCCCCGGACTGGAAAGGGCTGGGACCCCCCAACACCCAAGTACCTGTGAAAATGCCTCTACCTTGCAACCTTTACTTTCAAAACCAATAAAATAAATAAATTGCTTGCCCCATGTCTCCAGGCAAGGAGGGGTGTTAATGGCCCCAGAGGGGACTTCTATTCAGAGTCCCTCTGGGTCATTGTGTTTCAAATGACTAAACACCCCCCCCAAAAAAAAAAACAAAAAAAACAGACCAGCCAGCCAGATTCTTTCCTTTTGCAAGGCTAGTATAAATCACAAAACCTTACCTGTTCTTTCTGGGTTCTGACACCATTCCGTTGGGTTTTCTCCCCAAAATGAAGCAGATAATATCTGTCTCCCAAACAGCAACCTCAGACTGGACTGTTGCAGCAGTACTGGGGCAGAGGGTGCTTGAAACAGCAAAAGAAAGAGGAACCTCCACTTTTAGTGGCAGTAGACCTCAATATACCAAATGCTATAGAACATGGGTAGGCAAAAACTAAGGCCCGGGGTTTGGATCCGGCCCAATCGCCTTCTAAATCCAGCCTGCGGACGGTCTGGGAATCAGCGTGTTTTTACATGAGTAGAATGTGTCCTTTTATTTAAAATGCATCTCTGGGTTGTTTGTGGGGCATAAGAATTCCTTCATTATTATTTTTTCAAAATATACTCCGGCCCCCACAAGGTCTGAGGGACAGTGGACCGGCCCCCTGCTGAAAAGGTTTGCTGGCCCCTGCTGTAGAATTTGGGGGGCTACCACTTTAAAGGCCCTGCGAAGCTCACAAGCAAGGCGGTGCGTTGGGTGTTGCTGGAAACAAAACGCGGGGCTAGAGGGGCCCCCTCTCCCAGGGGGTGCCATCATTTTAGGCCCATGGGCACATTGGGATCTGGATAAGATGTCCATGGTACCATTGTGCCCACAGGGACCAGGTTAGCAACCCACACATTTCTGACCCATCAATGCAATAATATTCCCAACTGCAGCCTTAGAACCGTAGAATTGCAGAGTTGGAAGGGAACCCTGACGATCATTCAGTCCAACCCCCTGAAAGGCAGGAATATGCAGCCGGGAATCGAACCTGCAACCTTGGCATTATCCGCACCATGCTCAATATTGGAGAGGCAGAACTGGGCTGTTTGGGTCACTGGCAGAAACAAGTGATGCTCAGGGAGTGAAAGATAAGATTGCCACTTTTTTTTGTATCTGGAAGGGCTCCTGTCTCATAGCAGCAGCCAATCATATACCTCTGGCCCCAAAAATAGTGAAAATACTTGTTTACTCACACACACACACACACACACACACACACACACACACACCCCTGGTAGATTTGGCTGGGGCACAGTTGACAGAGCTTCCCCTTCAATTCACGCCCCCTCTAAACTATAAATCTAAAGCCGTATCAAACCACTTTAAACCACCACTGCTTCCCCCAAGAGAATCCTGGGAGCTGTAGTTTGCTCAAGGGGCTGAGAGTGCATGGAGACCCCTCTCCCTCACAGAGCTACAATTCCCAGAGTTCCCTACAAGGATTGCTTGTTAAAAACCGCCCTGAATTGCAGCTAAGCTCTGTGAGGGGAATAGGGGTGTGTCCTCCGATCTCTCAGCACCCTTAAGATACTACAGTTCCCATGACCCTTTGGTTAAAATGATAAGAAAGTGCTGTAATTGCATTGTGCAGAAGGGGCATCTTGCGGCAAAGGTTTTTGCTCAGCTGTGCCCTCGGTCTGCCTTTGCCAACCTGGTGCTACAACTCCCAGCAGCCTTAGCCAGGGTGCCTGTAGTCTGTCCGGGGGTGGGGGCCCCCACCAGGTTACCCTAGGCGGTTCCCCAGACATACCTCCATCCTTTCTTCTCTTCTTGAATCCTGAGTACCTCCAGATCTTGCATTCAGAGTCCTCTGGTCCTTGCATAGCTCTGTGCCCATCCTTGCTGCAGCCCAAATTGGCCATCCTCATCTGGTCGTGGTCAGACCTAAGCCCAGCTCCCCCCATCAAACTTCCAGTAGAGTCCAGCAGGACAGTCACTGGCTGCAACTTTTGCAGACACCCCTCCAGAAAATTGACTTCTTACTGCAAGCCTCTTGCTCCCTTTGCAAAGATGTTTTGGGGAGTACGTGGCTCCTCCCCTTCTTCCTGAAATCTCCGCCCCCTTGCTGCCACTAATTCACCCCTGCTAGGTGCAAGACCACGGGGCAATTTGTGGCCAGCTAGCCACCAATTTGTGGCCAAATGTCTATGGCACCCAACCATGCTTTCGGACTGTTGGGCCATCTGCAAAAGCAACTTGTTTCCCAGCTCCTTGCATTTGCATGCCTAAAGGTGTGGAATTGCAAATTTCGGGGGCAGGTTCTTACAGAAAAGCTTACGGAAAAAGGAGGAAGTTGCTTCTTCCCGTTGCCACATTTTTAAGGCTGCTCTGGAGATTAGGGCCTTTGTTCCCCTGTTCTTTTGTTCGCTGCAATTGATTTGCAAATCGCTGCTGAACCTCTCTCTCTCTGCAAGTGTCCTGCTAACCTTGAACAGAGTTTGGCAGCCTGGGACAGATGGGAGGACACCGGGTTGGCAAATGCTAAATTAAGGTCTTGTGAGAAGGTGTGCTTTTAGGTAGCACCTTGGTGTTGAGCAAAACTCCTTTGACTGGCCCAGCAGAGGAGCTCAGATGTTGCAAAGGACTTGAGCTCTGGTCTAGAATCCTAGCATTGCAGAGTTGGAAGGTCATGTATTCCAACACCCCACAATGACCCAGCCAGTCTTTGCAATGCTAAAATGACTCCCAGGCTGCGCACCTGGTCCTTCAGGTGCACAGTTACCCCATTCAGGGCCAGGGAGCCCCCCCACATCCACCCTGTCCCCCCAAAACAGCACTTCTGTCTTGTTGGGCTTCAACCTCAATCCATTGTCCGCCGAAATAAATTAAAAAATTGTCCAGTAGCACCTAAAAAAGGGTAAAGGGGACCCCTGACCATTAGGTTCAGTCGTGGCCGACTCTGGGGTTGCGGCGCGCATCTCACTTTACTGGCTGAGGGAGCCGGCGTCCAGCTTCCGGGTCATGTGGCCAGCATGACTAAGCCGCTTCTGGCGAACCAGAGCAGCGCACGGAAACGCCGTTTACCTTCCCGCCGGAGCGGTACCTATTTATCTACTTGCACTTTGACGTGCTTTTGAACTGCTAGGTGGGCAGGAGCAGGGACTGAGCAACGGGAGCTCACCCCGTCACTGGGATTTGAACCACCGACCTTCTGATCGGACGCCCTAAGCTCTTTGGTTTAACCCACAGTGACACCAACTAAATATGTTCTGGGTATAAGCTTTCGTGTGCATACGTTATACCCAGAACATACTTAGTTGGTCTCTAAGGTGCTACTGGACAATTTTATTTATTTATTTTGATTGTGTCAGGCCAACACAACTACTGTACCTACCTGAATCTAGAACCATTGACCGCCATCCATGAAATGAGCTTTCCCCAGGAATGCAGCCTAAGACACAACTGGGACTACACCCACAAATCCTATGCTCCATTCATGATTATTCATGCCTCCTGCTTAAACATAAGCAATATAAATGAGTTTATTTTTATTTATTTAATCTATTTATATGCCACCCTTTATCCAAAATTCCCAGGCCAGTGTACCACATTAAGGATATGATAAAGTGAGCATAAAAAACCATAACACAGACCATAATAATAAAATAACAGGCCATAGATTGTTTAATGGTCAAAGGCCAGGGTAAAGAGATAAGTTTTTGCCTGGTGTCTAAAGATATGTAATGATGGTGCGAGGTGAGCCTTTCTGGGGAGAGCATTCCACAAGCAGGGAGCCACCACAGAAAAGGCCCGTTCTCTTGTTGCCCCCCCCCCGAACCTCTTGGGGAGGGGGAGGTATAACAAGTGCAGGGTCTGGGTTGGTTCATATGGGGAGAGGGGGTCCTTAAGTTATTGAGGTCCTGAGCTGTGTAAGGCTTTGTGGGTCAAAACCAGCACTTTGAATTGGGCCCAGAAATTAATTGGCAGCCAATGTAGTCGCGTCAGGATAAACAAATAAGAAGGCAATTGGCCTTGCAGTTCAGGGGCCAAGTCCTAGCATGGTCATTGTGAGCCTTTCTGGGTCATTTCCTCTCTCAGCCTCAGTTTTCCCATCTGCATAATGGGGGTAGGAGCTCCCTGCTGCACAGGGTGCTATGAAGCCCAGCACAGTAAAAGGCAACACAGCACATCCTGCAGCTTTTACAGCTCTGTATAACTGATGTCCCACTAGTGTAAAACAAAGGTGCAGAAATTGCTCAGGTGTCTCATTGCCAATTCCCTTCCTCTCGGAACCCCTAGGGTACTGCGCTGCTTTCTTTCTGCCTCCCTTGTTCTGCAGCCTGATGAATAAAATTTGCCATCAGAACCACATTCCAAACTTTTTACCAAACGCTGCGTTTTGAACCGGGGCAGATTTCTGGTTTCCGTCTGAAACCACCTCCAGAAGCTGCTAAAAATTTACCCATCCCTTTGGTCTGCGTGGCTCTCCCACTTTACCAGCCCAACTCCACCAGATGTGTTTCAAAAACCTGCTACTCAGTGTGTCCGCTGCCTTTGTAGCCTCAAACTCCAAATTACGGTAGCAACGGGGGCATTTTGTCGAACCCGTCTTGGCGGAGGCATGGAGACAAGGGGAAAGAAAACAGCTTGCCGTAATTTGTTCTTTATTATGCTTGTTGTTATCTGGGTTTGAGATTCTCCTCCCTGCACCCCACAGGCTTCTTGAAGGAGACAAAAAGAGGCAGAGATTACGGAGGAGCGTGGAGATAGCAGCAGCAGCAGCAGCAGCGCCGGGACTGACAGATGTGTTAACATTAATCATGCCCAACTTAAAAGAGTTGCCTCCTTTTCGGTGATTTGTCTCCGGCTAAGTGTGCTGCTGGCTGCAGGGACGCCCAAATGGGTGTGTGGGGAAGGCGCCTGGGTGATGTTGCCTGAGCGACTGGGAGCTTCCTGGGGCAGGTGAGGCTGCCATTGGCTGTTCCGGAGGCGGAGGATTTCCCAGAGCAGGTGAGGTGCTTATTGGTCGCCTGGGCGACTGCAAGGATGCCAGCTCGGGGGTGCTTCTGATTGGCTGCTGGGCTGAGTGATGGGTTATCCGACTGTCTCATCCTGTGGAGGCAGTTTCCGTGGCAACAAGAGTTGCAAAGGAGAACCAGGGGCCTAGGCCGCAATTCGCAGTATTGGAAAGGGGTGGGGGGGGAGAGAAGATAAAGAATATATGGGAAGGGGGAGAGGGAGAGGGAGAGGGAGGAGTTGTAGGACCCTCTCAAGGCTGCTATGCTTCCTTCGCGGATTGCAGATTTACACAGCCTTCCTGGCAGGCCACGGATCAGCCAGACCTCAGATGATTATATTATTTATTATTATTTATATTATTCATCTAATAAGGTGTCTGAAATACAACACAGATCTGTATTTGTCTCCCCGGGTAGTAGCTCTGGTTGAGAGCAGGTGCACAACGGTGCAGCATTAAAACTGCCAGCACATTTGCAAAGCTAAGCAGGGTCCGGAATGGATTCAGATTGAGAGGGGGACCATGTGTTGAGATTCCTGCATTGCAGGGGGTTGGACTAGATGACCCTCGGGTCCCTACGATTCTATGAATGGCAGCATCTGTGATTCTCACACAGGGCTGGGCAGGGCATAGATCAAAATCTACTGGCAAATTCCTTGGTGGCTTCCCCTAGAGGCTTTCTGACCACTGGTTGTTTAACCATAATGATGACAACAACAAAATGTGTGGTCCCTCTCTACCCCCAGCCCACCCACCCCCAAATAGACTGCTGAAATGAAGAGAACTGAGTGGGGTGGAACCAGGGTGTGTGTGTGTGTTTATTTATTTAAAACATCAGTATGCCAGTGTTCTTGAAGCGACCAGCATGAGTTTGACCAAACTGCGGGAGGCAGTGGAAGACAGGAGTGCCTGGCGTGCTCTGGTCCAGGGGGTCACGAAGAGTCGGACACGACTAAACAACAAAATGCCACATTTCAGCACCTCTTCTAAAAATGAAACAATTACTAATAGGTAAATAACTAGCCTGTGGTTTATGTCTGAAAGGACCAGGTGCGCAGCCTAGGAGTCATTTTGGACTCACATTTGTCCATGGAGGCGCAGGTCAATTCCGTGTCCAGGGCAGCTGTTTACCAGCTCCATCTGGTACGCAGGATGAGACCCTCCCTGCCCGCAGACTGTCTCGCCAGAGTGGTGCATGCTCTGGTTATCTCCCGCTTGGACTACTGCAATGCTCTACGTGGGGCTACCTTTAAAGGTGACCCAGAAACTACAACTAATCCAGAATGTGGCAGCTAGACTGGTGACTGGGAACGGCTGCCAAGACCACATAACACCGGTCTTGAAAGACCTACATTGGCTCCCAGTTTCTGAGCACAATTCAAAGTGTTGGTGCTGACCTTTAAAGCCCTAAACGGCCTCTGTCCTGTATACCTGAAGGAGCGTCTCCACCCCCATTGTTCTGCCCGGACGCTGAGGTCCGGCTCCGAGGGCCTTCTGGCGGTTCCCTCACTGCGAGAAGCCAAGTTACAGGGAACTAGGCAGAGGGCCTTCTCGGTGGTGGCACCCGCCCTGTGGAACGCCCTCCCACCAGATGTCAAAGAGAACAACAACTACCAGACTTTTAAAAGACATCTGAAGGCAGCCCTGTTTAGGGAAGCTTTTAAGGTTTGATGCATTACAATTTTTTAATATTTTGTTGGAAGCCGCCCAGAGTGGCTGGGGAAGCTCAGCCAGATGGGCGGGGTATAAATAATAAATGATGATGATGATGATGATGATGAAAGAACAGTGGGTTCATTTCTGGGACCAAAAAACAAATTCCTGGCCGATTATGCTCAGAGGAACTCTTGTCTTTAATTCCTGTGTGCAGCCTGTGGCTCTTACAACCCTGTTTTTTTTTTAAAAAAAAAGCAAGACACATCATGTTATGTGAAGTATAAAGGTAAAGGGACCCCTGACCATTAGGTCCAGTCGTGGCCGACTCTGGGGTTGCGGCGCTCATCTCGCTTTACTGGCCGAGGGAGCCGGCGTACAGCTTCCGGGTCATGTGACCAGCATGACCCAAACCGCTTCTGGCGAACCAGAGCAGCGCACGGAAATGCCGTTTGCCTTCCTGCCGGAGTCGTACCTATTTATCTACTTGCACTTTGACGTGCTTTCAAACTGCTAGGTTGGCAGGATATGTGAAGTATGCCCAACCCTTATTTGGTTTGCCTTCTGTACAGAGTAGAAAACTGTCTTCTTTGATCTGCTTCTGGGTCTAACCCCTTTTGCTAATACAATTTAAAATATTGTTACATGAAATCATGGCCAGTGTCTATATTGCAGGACAAGCTCCCCATGTCCCATAATCTGCCATTTGGGGATAAGGAAACAGACCTGTCTTGCAGGGGGATAGTAAGGGGATGGGTTGCCAAAAAGAGGCGTGTAAGGCCTAAACCTACTGTCATATGGGGAGAGATGGACCCACATCGGCCCAGGAGCATTGTGGATGTATTCCTGTGCCCCCTCTCTCACCCAGTTCCAGTCAGTGTTCAAGTCTTACAGACCTCCAGCCCGAAGCTCTGGCTGATTGTTTTGACACTGACCCATGTTGGGACATTCAGGACAGAGAAAAGAGAAGCGTTAAACTATGGAACTGCCATAGTTTGCAATAGCTCCCAACTTGGATAGCTCTGAAAGAGGATATCTCTGCTTTTTAAGATACTGTAAAAAAAAAAAAAAAGCAGAGATATCCTCTTTTGCCAGCAAAGGTCTGTATAGTTAAAGCTACGGTTTTCCCAGTAGTGATGTGTGGAAGTGAGAGATGGACTATAAAGAAGGCTGATCGCCAAAGAATTGATGCTTTTGAATTCTGGTGCTGGAGCAGACTCTTGAGAGTCCCATGGACTTCAAGAAGATCAACCCTATCCATTTTGAAGGAAATCAGCCCTGGGTGCTCACTGGAAGGACAGATCCTGAAGCTGAGGCTCCAATATTTTGGCCACCTCATGAGAAGAGAAGACTCCCTGGAAAGACCCTGATGTTGGGAAAGATGGAGGGCACAAGGAGAAGGGGACAACAGAGGACGAGATGGTGGGACAGTGTTCTCAAAGCTACCAGCATGAGTTTGACCAAACTGCAGGAGGCAGTGGAAGACAGGAGTGCCTGGTGTGCTCTGGTCCAGGGGGTCACAAAGAGTCAGACACAATTAAATGACTAAATAACAACAAAAGAGGATAAGACAAATTCAGGCAGGAGGGGGCTACCCAGACCCTGCAATCTTCATCTGACGCCCTTGTCAGAGTGCCCTGTCCAATAAGGCCTCCTAGATGGCAGTCAGTGGCAGGGTCTTGCCAGTGTTGGCCCCCCAAATACAGAATGCCCTTGTCACCAGACTGCTGCTACTTTAATGTCTTTCCGGCCCCTGGAGAGTTTTCTCATTTCCCCCAAGTAGCACATTGTAACCTTTAATGTTGCTTCAGCTCTGTTGCGCTTTTTTTTATTATTATTCTCTGCTCTATTTATTCGTAGACCTTTTCAAAATTATCTTATTTGGTGTTTTGTTTCTATTGCATTCGTTGTATTTTTAGCTTGTTATTTTTATTCTGTGAGCTGCCTGGAGAACTTCTTGTTATAGAGAAGCCTATAAATAATGGAAGTAAGGAAGTAAATAAGCAAATAAACAGGCCAACCCCTGCAGCTCTGCCTTTTATATTATTATTTTAAAAAAAGCAGTTCCTCAATGTGTAGACGGAAGCAGGACATGCAAAGCTTCACCCCTTCTGCTTATTTCTGTGCATCGGTCATCTTCTGTTAAAGGCACGAGTGCAGGCCAGGCTTTGGTCAGTTGGCAACCGTGCATCAAGGCAGTGTTGGAGGATTTACACAGACCTTTCATAGAACTGTGGAGTAGGAAGGGACCCCAAGGGTCATCTAGTCCAACCCTCTGCAAATGCAGGGATCGTTTCCCCAGTGTGGGGCTCGAAACCCAAGACCCGGAGATCTACCGGCCCCCTCCTCATTTAACCCCCACAACAACCCAGTGAGGTAGGTCTGACTGAGAGGCAGTAACTGGCCCAAGGTCACCCCTAGTGGTGAGATTTGAACCCTGGTCTCCCAGGTCCTAGTCTAACCACTATACCACACTGCCTCTTCCTTTTACCAAAGGGTGGACAGGAAGATATTCACCCTGGCCTACAACAAAGCTAGTTTTTCTCCACGATATATAGGGACTGATCCCGCAACATACCGTAAGCTGGAAAGAAGCTTAGCTGTCAGAATTACATGTGAAGGGGGAATTTTTGTTTCTAATCATGCAAAAATGAAAAGGAATAGGGGGGGGGGAGAGAGAAGAAGAAGCCTGGAGCCTCTTCAGCAAAA